ATAATATGATATCTAAGTATAATAATATAAGTCTATAGCGTCTGTTTATTTATCAACTATAAGCACTTTATGATAATTTGATTTATTTTTTTAATAAGTTAGACATTTAAATCTTTAATTTAAACAATAAAGGAAATTTATATCAAATAAAAATTGCTGTTTCCAATATCAGTAAAATTAAGATGTTTAAAATATATATAATTACGATTACAATGCATAATGCGGTAATCATATGCATTAGTCGATTGTCACTGTTGAGGTAAAAGTAACATTCAACAATGATATGTCCATTTTTCGCTGAAAATCTAACGTAAATATGTACTTTATGTCCAGGATTGACATTTCTTTCCACCCTATATTTTGTTAGTTGACTGGTAGTCCACGTAATTATATAAAATAATTCAGATAAATGTTTAAATTGATTTTTTTTTATACAACGTTGAATGGCAAACAAGCTGACGGCCCACCTGATGGAAAGTGGTAACCGTCGCCTATAGACATGAGCATGAGTACCATGGAAATAACAGAGTATATTGTTTCGCCCATGATACCCCCATGCGTTGCCATTTCTGAGGACTCGGGTGTTATTTCTCTGAACCCAGTAAATTCACGCCATATCCCACCATTCAAACCGAAACAGCCATGCAAACACGACTGCTTCACGGTTGAAACACGAATGAATTTACTGGGTACAGAGGAATAACACCTGAGTCCTCAGGAATGACAACGCATGGGGGTATCATGGGCGAAACAGTATACTCTGTTATGTCCATGGTACTGCTCATGTCTATAGGCGACGGTTACCACTTTCCATCAGGTGGACCGTCAGCTTGTTTGCCATTCTTAACTGTAGAAAAAAAATTCTTTTAGTATAGAATAAAAATGGAGACAAGATTAATATAGTTCAGCAGGTTGAAAAATATATAGGAAAATATAAACTGTAGAACTAGCTCGTTCGCCATTTAACTGTGGAAGGACAAATGATTATAACGGTATTTTCCGGTTGCCAAGGGCGTAGCGGACACGAAGCAAATTCTCAAGAACTATTGAGTCAAGCGAGCAAGATAAAGCGATAGGCAGGTGTCTCAAACCATATTATTATAATATGTATTGTGGTATGGTTTGGCGACGGCGGGATGAAGTGGGGTGCTATGACGTAATTAGTCTGCCTCGCCAAAGCGATCGTTTGGCTTCATTTAGGACATAGATACAATGTTTTTTCTATCCATTATAAAGTTTAATAATAATATAAAAGCGTCAAAAATTCTAGAGTATATCGCTCCAAGTAGACACAGTAGTATCTCTTTTATTTGGGGAGAAAGGGATTGTTAGCAATGGAGTTCCATGACAGCCCCTTTATTTATAGTTTGCATTATTATGAAATTTAAAATATGTAAATCTACTTTTACTATTACACTGTTTCGTCACCTTCTGCCAAATTGGGAATTTAACGCAAAAGAAAGAGACAAATAGTTGAATGGCTAAAATAAGTTAATGAGAGGTTTGATATTTTTATAAATAAGGGGTTAAAACTATAATTGGCGAAAAGTATATTTGTATTTAAGACTTCATTATGTATTAATCATATAATTATTTGAATCTTTTAGACTTCCATAAAGTCACGGTGGGCTAACTGACCTGCTTCATCCTCACCTATTATCCTTCACGAATTCAATAAAAATTGTTCACGTGCCCCGCCTAATAGGGGTGTATACCGTTAGCAATATCTGGTTTGATATATGTATATTAATGATGGATGATTATTTTTGTTTTTTTATATTGTAATTATATTAAATATAAACCTTATTTAACCTACTTTAAAAGTCAAATTAATTAAATTATAAAATTTCTTTGGACAAATGAATGTGACACAAACAGCAAACTTAGTTAAATAACTGTTTATACATACTTAATTTAATTTGTATATATGTACATTTTTTTTTATTCATTGGCCACAGTATATTGCAATATATATTATACAACTTAGAATGGCAAACAAGCTGACGGCCCACCTGATAGAAAGTAGTAACCATCGCCTATAGACATGAGCAGTACCATGGACATAACAGAGTATATTGTTTCGCCCATGATACCCCCCATGCGTTGCCATTCCTGAGGACTCAGGTGTTCAGTCATCGTCCTCCGTACCCAGTAAATTCACGCCATATCCCACCCTTCATACCGAAACACAGCCATGCAAATACAACTGCTTTACGGTTGAAACACGAATGGGACAGAGGTACCCAAGCAATCGACTTTTGTACAGTCTCCCTCTGGTAAAAGGTAGGAGATATTTAAAGAAAAAAAAATATGTACAAAGGTCTTAATAAGGACAATGGAAACTAATATTTTTTTAAAATCTTTCATTGTCTGTGTGACTATCTATTTGGCATCGCGCTATAACCACTAAATCATATTAGATATGGTTTTTTTTTTGATGGGTGAAAATGGTATGGTAACCCCGCCTGTGCTAACGGGATAATTTGCCCAAGCGAAGCCGCGAGTTACTTCTGATCAGTAAAAAGCATAGACATATCAAAATTATATACAATATATATGTAGGATCCGCTAAAACCCGTTTCAACATCGCATGGTTGCGAATTGAATACACAAATATTTCATAAAAAAAAAATATGTAAATGGTTAGTGAAACCCGTACCAAAATTTGTTGCAATGTTTAGAAGAATTACGCGGGGAAACAGATAGATGCGGGCAATGACTTTGTCTTATATTATTTAGAGAAGAGATATACTAAATCCTGTGAACTCGTTATTTCTCGTTGCCGTAGGTAGATATTTCTGTCGCATCTTCCAATTTAGGTATGTTTATCGTGCACGACTACTTCCTAAATATTAAAGTTATTGGAGTTTAATTTACTTATTTATTTAATATAAGATATATAAAAATAGGATTTTGGAGATATAAGAGATAGTCATGCAGATGCTTTTAGTGTTTTTTTTTTTTATTTCCGAAATATTGCGAAATATGTGTTACACGATTTCTTATATATATATATATATATATATATAATATTATATTTTATCGGATAATAAAGTATAATATCATGTATTCGGCGTATGTTCTAAAAATACATTTTAACAGATATACTAGTCTAAAGCAAAGAGTTTTCTCATTGGCAGCCTACTGAGAATAATTAAAATTGACAAGTACATACCAGGTGAAACATATTGTTTGTACTGTCGTTTTAGATTCTAACAAATCTATTGACTGTGACACCTCCAAAGTATTCACTTGCAATATTTAAAAATAGGTAGGTATTGGTATTGAAACTAGTAATTAATATACTCTTTAGCTATTTCTCGCGGCTTTGCCTGCGTTAACCAGTAAATACATAAAGTATCCTATGTATAAAGTTAGGATATAACCTATTCGTGCACCAAATTTAATTCAAATTCGTTCAGTAGTCTTCGCGTAGTAACAAAACATTCATCCATTCATAAAAACTTCCTTTTTTTTAATCTTAATAGAATTTAATTTACCCAATTGTCGAGGTTGGGTTTTATACATAGAAAAAGACTTTAAATAACGTCCTATAAGAACAATTATTAAAAATATTGTACATCTACGTGATAATTTAGAGCTTCATTGAATAAAATAACCACAGTACACTTATTTCGTATCGCACATATTTTTGCATCTCATATCTTAATTCTTTGGCCCATTCGTCGACAAAGCACTTACAGGGATACTATACTTTCCTTTTCAGATGTGTAGGTGTACGTAATACCTAAACAATAGTACTAAATTAAATACACTTCTAGGTCTCTAGATAAATTACTGTCTTTCACCTTAATTATTATTTTTTCTATCATAATGTAATAGCTAAATGAGTCAATTCGTGGTATGCCGTGTTGATAAAAGCGTGACACTTGACTTTGACGTGTGGAATTTTTTTCGATTTTATTCTTACTAACTTAAAACTGGCTGATAGGAATACAGAAACGAGAGAGCACAGAGAAATAAACTCGCGAAAGTTCGAGAACGACAAATGACTGGCGTTCGCCGGAATACAACGTGCAGTATGGTGACCGCGGGCAGGGAATAACCATGTCAATAATCCCAACTGTATATAAGTTATGGAACGCACACAAACACTGAGCCGCCGTGCGAGTACAGCGACGCTCGTCCGTCGAATGATTTTTGGATTGGCTCGGCGTTGTTGAGCCCGTTTGCGCGGTGGGGAGCCCTTTGGGTAACGTCCTTGTTTCAATCCAACTGCATATTGCTCGTTGCTCGCATTAGAGCTGTGTTGTACGGTCCGGATAGAAGAATCCAAGAATCCCCACTACAAAGGAATAACGCTTTGTAGCAACGAAGCAATGTTTTACGGCTTGTGAACGTGATTAGGATTATCCATATGTTTAGTTTTGTTTTGAGTTATTTGGACAGGTTAGTAACATTTTAAATATCTACCTACGTTGTAGATGTGGATCTATTACTTACTACGTTGGAATTATTTACGTTTTCGACATATGCATGATGGCGGCGGCGAGACGACGGCGCGTCCCTCGTTTAACCAAAGAATACATATTGACTAGAAGTAATTTCCTTTTTTGTATGTTCACGGCGTCTAAAGTTATTTTATTATAAAAACATTAAATTTAATTAGGTAGGGAATTTACCACATACCTTTCAAAGTACCTAATAACATATTTTAATGAATGGCATTTTCCATTATGTAAGTAGACAGATACCTCTTGCAGATAAGTCAATTGAGTTTATGTACTTACGTAGCTTTTGCTTTGTGGGTTATGGACTCCGTACATTGGATCAATTATTGGTTACTTATAATTTATGTTGGTACTTATGTAAGTAGTGTGTTTATTAAATAGGTATATTTACTTTTCGTGGAATATTAATACATTTATCTCAATTCAATAGCTGCTCAAGCGGACAGTCAAGACACAGCCACGTTCAATATAAAAAATGATTTGGATAAGGTAAATAAATTAGTTCATTATTAGATCTTTTTGTAGAGAAATAATTATAAAGTACTAGATTATACGTCAATAAATATGAACTTATTTGTACCCTCGTAATATATTATTTGTGCATTGTACACGTATTAATGTTTGTACAGAGATATATATAGTTAGTGAATATGTTGACAAGCGTTTCCGGTAAATTGACGATTTAACAAAACTGAATAATACTTTTATTAATCTAATATATTATGATATTATATTTAAGTAGGTTATCAAATTATTATTATTAAAAATATTTAGAAAAAAATACATTTCTGTAAAAAGGCCGTATTGAAAAATGATTAGGTACAGAATGCCTTCCCGTTTTGCCGTACTCGGCGCTCGAGCGCTGGTGTTGCAGTTGTAGACTGTATTGTCAATGCGTTAGTTTTTTGGCTGCCATTTTGTTTTCAGTTCATGTTCCGACATGTTCTTTTGCGTTCATTAGTTCCCGAATTCAACAGTATACGACAGGAGTAGTCATGAAAAATATTTATTTAGAATTAAATGTTTTTGAAGTGTTTTTATGGTGTAATTAGTTCATTAATTAATAGTTTCTTTATATTTTTTTAAAGAAAAAGGTAGGTGTAATGAATATTAATGTCTTAATTTTTTTGCTCAATTACTATAATATTTAAGTATTTGTATATGTGAGTATTTTGATATATTATCACTAAATATTATTTTCTGAACCTAGTTTGTCATTTTGTAATGGTTGGATTAATGTACCCACACGTGCGACATACTACACGTGAATATATATAACAAAAACAGTTAATTTTGCATCTAGATATAAAGTGATTTTTTTAATGAAGTAAAAATGTTCTAGCAAAATTGTAATTAAATAAGAATATAACCTATAAAAATACCATAATCAACTTTTTAACCAACGATATATAGATTTTAGTTTCCAGTCGTACAAGCATTCGTATATAAATGTTACTCTTTAAAAAAATGTGCTAAATTTTGTGTGGTGATCTAGGAACAAGGCAACCATATGATTTACAGTTTTTATTTTATCATTCCTTCTATATAATTCCTTATTCTTAGGTCGGGATTATCTACGCGAATGTTCTGCTGTAAAACGGGGTGAATAGGAACAATTTGTCTGTTTTGTATAAATCGATGTGCATAGTACAGAAATATTGATTATTTGGCATAGATATAGTTATTAACTTATATACTAAAACAACTTAAATAATAAATAGAAAAATATACTAATATTGTCACTTTTGTAAAGTACATTTATATAAGTCAGTATTAGTACTTATTTATCTTATATTGACTTAAATATATGTAAACGATCTTTGTGTCTTTTTGTCGAATAAACAGTGTATAAAATAAAATGAAGTAGTTAAAATAAAACAAAAATATACATAACATTATTCTTACTTTTATATATATATATATATATATAATATATATATATATATATATATATCAAGTAGGCATTTATTTTAACCCCTTCATTCCCTTGGCATTTCTGTTGCCCATTTTTTCGTTTATATCGATCTATTTAGCGATTCGAGTCATCCCATTTTTTTTTAAATTTTATATGGTACCGAATTGTTTGAAAACAAACTACGGCTGAATTACGAACATTGTTTTTAATTTGAAAATTTTGCACTTTTGCTTTACAATTTTTAATATACATTTTAACCAAGACAGAAGTTATATTTGGCATTTGATTATTATTGCCTTCAGATATAAAAAAAAATTATTTTACTAAAATGTTATTAAAAAAAAAAGCCTTAACTTTTTTTCTGATTTTTTAATTATGCCGGGATTTCTATTAACCCCGTTTTACGGTACATTTTTTATTAACAGCTTTAGGGATTAGTCCATTAATTTTACCTCCTTGGCTATTACCATTTAAATTGTTTTATCATAACCTGCATACGTTAGAGTAACATATTTTAATAGATACCTAGGTATATTGACACCTATGTATGAAATAACTTTCTGTACCTGCCTACGTACGTATTTTAACTAAGTCCCAAATAGGTTCTTTAAGAATTTTGTAAATTTATTGAAGTCTGCGTACACAGTTTGAATACGATATATCAGAAAGTAATAGAGTAATTTGTTAAGAAGAGTATTTGCTGAAGTTTGTGCATTGGTGTTCTGCCCGAAGCCATAGTATAAGTAATAGTACTAAAGTATGGACACTCCCTGCGATCTGACCTCACCCCTATCAAACATGCATTAGCATTTTCACATGTACAGACGTTACTTGTTTCTGTAGTTGTAACCGGGAACGTGGTGTTTTTGTGTGAAGTGACCGGGGTGTGCTGAAACTTAGAAACATCGAAGCTTCTAGACCTAGTACCTATTTATTATTAGGTACGCTTAAAGGGATTATTAGTAATGCGGACTACCAGTCTCAATGCTAACAATATATCATGTCAGGTCGACCGCCCCGTGGTCTCCCCCTAGAATTCATCGTAGTGAATTCTTGTTGAATTCGTCACGATGGACTATCTGACCTTTCATGCTCACTGCCAGCGTATACCGTTAACGCAGACGGGGTTACCATCCCATTAACATCCATTAAAGAATCCATCTTTCTCTAATACAAAATGATGAATATTTATTCGCTAATTTAAGGATTATTAATACTTTTGTGATGGTAGGATAGGTATTATCAGGTACAGCCACGGTTTTCCGTGCTAAGGTTCATTTAACTGTACAGTGATCAAGTCTACTCCCCTGTTTTTCTTCGATTTTGCTTACCAATAGAACCCGAGCATAAATGAACAAAAGATTTATTTCATTCATGAAAGGTTCAAGACCCAGTTTTTACCTACGACTTTGTTAGAGCGATCTTTTTACAGGTTTACTTTCTAAAATAAGAGAATGTAACATCTGGCAATATTAAAAGGACATTTAAGAGCTGGCCACCTACCATTACTTGGTCACAGATCCCTTTAAAAAACAATCAAAGGTAGGCTTATGTAATATCGCTTTTTTGCAATATTGAATTGGTACTGGTTATTTAAGTTGAATATCAGATATTGTAACTATTAATTTCGGTATTTGACACATCAAAAAAAAAAAAAAAAGATTGGGATGAGTACGGCTAACGCAGTTCCTCTTACATACTCTTTCCGTTTCATTTCATTTCATTTTACATTGTTTAATATTATTTATAGCACACACATTAGAAAATTAATACATAGCGTAATTGAAACAAAGAAGTAGTCATAAATGATCATTTTACTCGACCGTTTGTTTAGATGAACCATTCATTCAATCAAATATTGAAATACATACATTGTACCTCCGTATCTATTTACTCGCTCATGATTCATTTGAATTGAATCTGTTTTGGATATATCTATCTTGTAGATGTCGTTGTCGTACATATATCCTATAACAAATTGAGTAGTAGTAATGCGAGTCTGTCCGGCCGATATCTATTGTGGCGTATCGGTTACTGAATCAGTTTATACGTTTCAATGTATCGTTTTGAGAGTGATATTGGATATTGGCCGGTCCGATTTCCACCGTTAAGTCGCAGTTCAAATTGTAAAAAAAATAGCAGTGAATAAGCGATTAGATTATTTTATGTTTTTACTTGCGAACTTCTCAACTATGAATTGTTGTCTAAAAAACTCTAACGTCCCAAATAGTTATTCTGCAAATTGGTATTTTATTTGGTTGATGAATCTACCCACAACAAACATAGATAAAGACGACGTATGTGCACCTATCTCATTGTATACAAAAACTAAGCGTGTCACAAACTGACAACTGTAGGATGATTCTCAACAAATGATGGATCCGATTGGAAGGATTTTGCAATCTTTAAACGATATTAAGTCGTATACACAGTATTTAAAGTCTATATTACCAAGCCGAGCACAGCAGCCTGACTGTGGACGTCTTCTGCGACGCGCAATTGTCGCCATTTGCCTGTCGTCGTATCCGATCGGATCCTTTCGGCTGGTGTCACGTACGCTCAAAATCGTGGCCGAGTAGCTTAATAATTTTTTTTTCCTCTTCTGTGTTTTATGATTATTTTCTTTTCCGTCTAATGCAATAGCCAATAACCTACGTCAATTTCAACCATTTTAAAAAATTAGATCACGTCAGCATGGTAGTAATGAAACTGTTTGACTAGGCGCAGACACAGACATGTTAGCAAGCGACGGTACAGAGCCGATCGTATGTGTTGCGATCCTGCAGGACGCGATCTATTGTCGCCGCATCCTTTCCGATCCGATGCGATGAAAGCCGTTTGATGGAAATCATCCCTAGACGTTGCAGCCTAATTTACGACGGGAAATTAATCCGCAAAAGATATATAGTTGTTATATCTGTTTAAATTCATATTTGTTAGGAAAGTAGGTTCCTTATTGTTCAGCGTAGGTAATTTGAATTCATTTATTTCGCCTTCTCAGTAATGGTATACGTTTTATTTTTAATCTTCATAAGTATCTGTGAGATCAATCTCTCTTTAACGCGCTCAGCGAAAAATTGTTCGCATATTGTGTACACTTCATTGTATTCCATACAAACTCTTTCGAATATCTTAAGTCTAAATTTCAATTTTACGAATCGTTGTCTTCATTTTTGCTGGAATATTTTTTATATTCTTGCTCATCGGACTGGCTTCATTGCCCATTCCTTAACCGTTCAGACTATTAAAATACTGGAATGTACTCCTGCTTGACATAAGATATACACTCAGTAATTTAGCTTTTAAAAATAATTTGCACTCCTTCATAAAAAAGCTGAACTTTTTTTTCACACTTCCTTTAAACTTAACCTTGTTAGTTACCCTTTTGAATTCGATATACCAGCGATCCGCCCCGGCTTCACACCGATGCTATATTTGTTTGTATAACTCAAACTGTTTGACACATTTTAGTAAGGTTTCTATTTTTTGTGTGTGAATACTGCACTAATAATCTGTAAGATTTTAAAATGAATGATCTATTTAGCAATGTAATGTGCGCTCTTTTATATAGTTCTTCTGCTTCTGACCTCCGCGTCAAGCCCACTCGTATGGCCAGCCAGTGACAACGCAATAACTTTACTCACTTATTATTTTTATTTCGCATTATCTTCTGACCAACTTATCGATTAATATGCTGTAAAAAAGTAAAATTTATCTCCATGAAATTTTAATTTTGATTTAGCTATTCGCTGTTATAAGATGTTGTAAAGTATCGGTCAAACTTATGTCTAAACTTCATCTTGTAAAATTTATTTTACTTTTAACATAATAACCATTTTTTGGCTGAAATACTAAACTCACCATGTATATAAGTTACGTTAAGTAAATCACGGACTTTTTTTGTAAAGCTAAAAAAATTGCTATAGATTTTATTCCTTTATTTCAAATCGTTCAGGCAATGCACGCCGTTTATTAAATTTTTGCCGACTTCAACTACATTTTTAGTGATTAATTATTGAAAATATATACTTACCAAAATAAAAAGTAACCTATAACACTCAGGGATAATATACCTTTCTAACGAGTAAAGAATTTTAAAAATTAGTTTAGTGGTACCGGAGGTTACCCCGAACACCAAACTCGCAAATTTACCTCTTTATAATATTAGTATAGATAATTAGATAGTACAGATATATATTTATATTTTTATTATATGTATACATATTTATTTATATTACATATTTTGTGTATGTTTATATCAATCTAATTATATGTTTCTAATGTATAAATATGGAAAACGCATACGATGTTAAGTCCGCCAAATATACATACAATTATACTGCATTAAAGTTGAAACACCCCTTTCTTTCTCTTGGGCGTCTTAAGAGGCGACTAAGAAAACTTTATGGTCGAGGGATGGATTACATCGTCTCTTTAAAAACATTACCAAAGTCTAGCTTAACCTTTTTTTACTGAGCAAGGTGTTATCTTTCGGAGGTCCATATCACTGGTACTTTGTTTAGATATGTTTGTTTTCGCTACCATTAATATGTGTGTGCCTAACCTAACATTTGAACATGGACCACCACTATTACTATCAGAAGTTCCACAATCTTCCATATTAGCTATCAATTTCCGACTGCCATATTGTTTACGCACTGTGAATTGCAGTTTGGATGCCGAACGGCTCTGAAGCACAAACACTAGGCTCTGAGCAGTGATCTAATACTTCGCCTAAAGATGTCTCGTTTAGAGGTGAAACACGTTCCGCAAAACGTGTGTGGACATTATTGCAGTCGGAGATTGATAGCTAATATGGAAGGTTGTGGAACTTCTGGTAGTCACACTGTTGGCAGTCACACACCTACCAATAAATAGTAGCTGAATTAAACAAAATTGTAATCAAATAATCAGTGATTCCTTTTTTTTTTCTATTCTATAATAATTTTGTGAATAAGTAATTTGGATACAACTGATTTATAGAGATATTAAGCGTCTTACAATTTTATTCGCAGGCGTAAAACATTCGTTATTTTATCCCTTCCAATTTAGAAACTTGAAAAGATTCTTAAATGCAACCTACAAAAAAGGAGAGTTTTTTAAAATCGGAGATGAAAAATAGATCATCATTTTTATGGCAAATTTATTTGAAATCTGTGTTTTCGACATCTGTCAGTTTTTTGACGTACGTTCTGTTAGTGCGGGAGCACTTGTTTAATAAAAAAAAAAACCTTTTGCCACACACCAAAGTTTATTTATTTAATATTTTTACAGACTTGTTTGAAGGTCCACTTGACTCGTGACGCGCGTGACGCTTAGTTTAGGGTTTTATTGAGCCTGATTGATCCAATTAGTTAATTTTACTGGCCAGACCGGCAAGCAAAAACCAGGTCCGTAGCTAGGAGGTAATTTGGCTAGCTAAATTACAATTGCCTTATTTTTGGGGTTTGTATGAGTTTATATAGGCATAATACTGCTTTATTGATTTAAATGGAAATAAATGATATTGTTATTCAGCAATAATATGTACATGCTAGGGTTGTAACAGTAAGTAAAGATTTGTACATACATACACTTATTTTGGCGATGATTTTTGCATTCGTGATAAAATGTATTTTCAAAAATATATGTAAACACAGCCAAAAAATAATGGGGTTGGGCAGACGATTGCCTGCGCTATTGGTTTACATTGATCGGATGCCAGTGAGAGATGAGAGATAAGATGAAGTCAGATCAGTTTGCTCATTGTGACTAATTTATATGTATTAGTAATTTTTTTAATATAGTAGTAGTCAATTTATAAATTGACATAAGCTTTAGGGTAATCTCTTATTTTACAGACTTCAAAATGGATTTGGACTACGATCGCAAGTTCGACGAGATGAAGAAGTATGTACCATTCTTGGAGAGTATGATCAAGAAACTGGAGATCACCAGTACAGGATCATCGAACCCCCGGCAGGCGCAGCTTGATAAGATCAGGTCACTGAGGGATCTACTTCTAGACAAAAAGAAAAGGTCAGTGTCATTAATAATGTATTTTGGGTAATAACACACTGAAGTGGCAAATGTTGTTTTCACTCTAATTGCTACTTGTCCATTTTTCTTCTATTCTGCTATCCTATCCTCCAAGTTAAAGTGAACATTTATTGAAATCGGTTTATTGGTTTCGGAGATTATCGTGAATGAACATCGTGATACGGAATTTTTTATATATTATTTTATAGTATTAGTATTTTTAAATTTAGTACCGCATACATCAGAGAATATGGACCCGGTAGGTGGTGGCAAAAAAACTTTTATCTGGGTCAGCTAGTAGATTAATTAATGTGGACGCATATATCAAGGATCACCTCTTTATCATATCGTTTTCTTTATTCATATTATGTGTCGTTATAGTCTTTGCCGCTTTTAAATATCTACTCTCAATTTGATCTAAAATTGTTGATTTTTTATTTGACGTATGCTTTTCTGGTACTCCACCTATGGATATGATACTTCCTCTTTTTCATTCCCACTAATTTTTTTTATATTCTCATACAAATGATTTCTATGATGATGAAATTCCATAAAAAGCTAATTTTATTGAAAAATTATTTAATACTAATTAAAATACTGATCGCTATTTACATTAGATATCGAATTTGATTCCAAGGTACAGACCAAGTTGGACTTTATTTTCTTTTATTATTTTGCAAATATTAACAATTTTCTTTCTTTTCAGAATGAAAATGGATAATTTATTGAAATGCGAACAAGTTCTGGTTAATTTGTACGCTAAAGTGGAACAGGTTTGTTGTTCTCTTTTCTACCAAAATGTTTACGATATTTACGTTTCCGTAACGCAAATTTGCTTGCTTGTACGCAATTTAATAGTTATTTATACTTATTTTTACATTTCAGAAAGATTCATCGTCTAGTAAGGAAACAGCAGAAAAATTAAAGTCGAAGGAAATCGCAGAGTTAGAAGTCGTTCGGAACAAATTAAAAGCTGTAGCGAAAAGAAAGGAAGACGATTCCTTGCCGGAAATAGCTGGTGCCAACGAGATTCCTGAAACTAGTATGGCTGGAAGTAAGGAACCAGCGTTGTTCCAAAGGAGACCAAATAAAAATTCTCTTTCTCCAAGGCGTCATATATCTCGTGCCAAGTATTGTTCTCATGAAATGTCATCAAAACGTAATTACACTCGCATATTGGTGTCTCCAGAATCTAGTCCACAGCGTTGGTCTAGTAACGAAAGTAGAACGTCAGGTAGGCCTCTTTTTAGTAGACGATCACCTAGAAAGTCTCCAAAAAGACATTCACCAACATATAAAAGGGAACGAAAAAAATCTAAGTCTTCGCGCAAACAAGAAGATTTAAATATTACATTAAAAGTACCAGAGGAAAGTTTGAATTCCTTGAACACGACAAACATTATCTCTAGAATTATTACTTGCAGTGATGGGGATGTCGACATTGAGACTTTAAGAATGTTAAGAGAGCAAATACTTAATGAGTTAAAAAACACTGGAGCCACCGAAGATATATCTGAGTTGATCTTACAAAGTAATTCTAAGAAAAAGAAGCCAAAAGAGAAAGTGGAAGTAGAGGAAGGGGAACTATCTGATAGTGAAAGTGAAGCCATTGAAAGTATATATGGCAGTCTTGTCATTTTAGACAAAGAACAGAAAACTTCAGGACATAAAACTAATAAAGAAGATATAAAACCTCGTAAAATTCAAATTCGTCTTGTAATAAATTCCGATAAAGATCTTAAAAGCAATAACGATTTAGTTCCATCAGGTAAAACTGTGGAACCAAATGAATTCGATAAGTTCGATTTCGAAATGTATCAAGCAGATAAACCCGATGAAAGTAAGTCTAATACGAATGATAGTGTTAATAAAGATATATCATTAGTTGAAATCTCTGAAAGTAAATGTGCCTCAAGTCAAATTACTATAAACGATACTGAAATCAATGATGCGAAAAATTTGGAAAAAAATCCAGCAAACGATTCGAATAATAGTGATGAATCAAAAGTCAGTGAAGGTTTCGAGTTAAAGAATTTAACTAATACATCAGAAACTACAGAGAAAACTATATTTAAACCCAATTTTTATAAACCATTGACAGATCAAGATCCTTCTGCCGATAGTATTGAAACTAATAAATCAAATCAAGATAAAGTGGATAAAACTTTGACCCCAGATTCAGAGAAAAAAGGCAACATACCAGAAGTTGTTACATCAAATGTGACAGATAAGGTTTCCAATACGATGAATAAAGATGTTGAAATACCATTATTGAATGAACGAAGTGTAGCTTCGCATCAACCAAAAGAAAGCGTGGTTTCAGAAATAGATATTCTACAAGCTCTCAAAAATGAAATTTTAAGTGAATCTATAGCTATTCCTGGCACTGATGCTGCAACTCCTCCTTTACATCAACCAAAGATTACTAAGGTAGCAAGCGCTCAAGAGATTGCACCGAAAAAAAGGATATCTATAGAAAACTATAAAAAAAAATCTAGCAGTTCAGTAACTACAGTATTTCCTTCAAAAGAAACTTCATCCACGTCTAATAAAGATGAACAAACTAAAAAACAAAGTCTTAAGCTAACTGATAAAGAATTTCAAAGATTTAAATCAATTCTAAACGATATCGTAAGTTCTGATGATGATGATAATACTAATGATTCAATTGCTTCTGTTGAAGATGTTTATGCTGATCTTGCGCCTAAATCACCGGACGATGATCATAGTATTCATATTGAAAGTAATACTCCCATTATAATACCCATAGATCCGGTAAAATCAGTCGAAGTCAATGCAAAAGCAGATATTGATATGAGAAAAATGAATCCTCTACCATCCCCGCAGTACGATTTGAAACAATCTGCAAATGATATTTTAACTTCTAAGGATGCCACGAAATTTGATAAAAATAATTCAGAAAAAACTAGAACATTATTAGTAGATCCCCGGATGAAAAAAGTTTTTGATAATACTTCTAAAGAAAATCTTAATCAATATGCACAAAATCCAGATAGAACACCTCAACAACCTACTGTTAATTTCCCTATTATGGCGCCAACAATAATACCGAATATTATTCCAAACATAACTCCGATTATGACTCCGAACATAACTCCGAGTATGACCCCAAGTATGATGACCCCAAGTAGGACTCCCAGTATGACGCCTAGGCCTTTCGAAATAAGTCATCAATCATTTGAAATTGAGGATCAACCAAAAAGAAAACATGTTTACACATCACTGTATGATACACGTGATAATAGAGATCAGTCTATAACTAGAGACACTAAGAGTTCTCATTGGGAAAAACAGGAAAATACTACAGAAAATCGAAGCAGCAGATGGGATGCATCTGAGATGAAGGATTCCAGAAAGTGGGATGATCATTCAAGAAGTGAATCTGTACACAGAGAGTCACAAGACTTTCAAAAGTACACCAGGCATAATGATTCATACAATTATAAACAATATAAAAATTCTAGAAATGACAGATATAGTTTTGACAAAAGAGATGAGCGCCATAATAGATTAGATCAATCAACGCCTAGTCATACCTTTGGAAGATCCGAATGCCCGCCGACACCTACTCATACGTTTGGCAGATCAGATTGTCCGCTCACACCCAATCACCCATTTGGAAGATCCGAGTGCCCGCCAACACCTAGCCACCCATTTGGTAGATCCGAATGTCCGCCAACACCTAGTCACCCGTTTGGTAGATCCGAATGCCCGCCAACACCTAGCCACCCGTTTGGAAGATCCGAGTGTCCACCAACTCCAGGCCATTCGTTTGGTAGATCTGAATACCCACTAACACCCAATCATCCTTTTGGCAGGTCAGAATGTCCACCAACACCTAGTCATGTTTTTGGCAGGTCTGAATGTCCTCCAACACCTAGTCATACATTTGGAAGATCAGAAATCGTAGGTTCAGATTTGCCTATGACTCCTAGTCATCCATTCGGTCGGTTAGACCGAGATCCTAGACTCAAAAGGAATTCAGACTATGAATCAAAATCTCAAAGTGAAGATAAAGAACACGGTTACTATAGAAATCGAAATAAGCAGTATGGTTCTTATAACAATTCGTATAAAAATACAGATAATTACAGGAATTATAGAGATAAAGGCGATGGGAGAAATGGGAGAAATAGATATTACTCTCAAGATCAAAATGAACGTCATTATTATAAGGATTCGAATTCACGGGAACTGTATTCTAGGGATGGTAGGTCAGTTGGAACTGATTATTATGATAAAGATGAAAATATTGAAATTCGACAAAGCCGTCATCGTGAACAAAGTGACGGACGAAGTATACCTTTAGAAAGAACGTTTGTAAGATCGTCATCACGAGCTCGCAGTGTCGCGAGAAGTTTTGAAATAGATAATGACAATACATTGTCTATAAAATCTCATGCCGGGCGTTCATTTACCATTGATACTAGTGTAAACAGAACATTTCAAGATTTTTTAAATAAAAATAACCATGATAAAGTAATCGATTTTACTTTTGATGTTAGACGACAAAGGGCTGCAAGTGTAGGACGATCGTGTTCATCTAACCGTGACACTAGTGTTGGAAGAACTTTGCCACGTTCCTTTCAATCATTTCATTCATCTACGCATGAAAATGTCAATAGAAATTTCCGTCGAGCGCGCAGTGTAGTTAGATATACAGAGGAACCTAAAATGAATAGAAGTTTCAGTGAAATCAAAGCTGATTTTGAGTCTTACAAATTAAAAGCACATGAAAATGAGAGCGAAAGCATCGGTCATGATAATGTTCAATCAAAAAGAGCCGGTACTAGAAATGTTATCGCAAAAACCAACTATGATGCTTATAGTACTAAAAGCACAAAAAGTTATTCGAAATTATCTTATTCTCCAAGAAAAAATAATAGGGATCCTAGATTACACCGCGAATCTCATTTTGATCAAAGTAATTACAGAAATGATAAAAACAAGGTATTTCGTGAACGAAATAAACATGGTATCATCTATTCTAATGACAATATTGCTAGTGGTTCTATATTAGGTTCTGGTTACGGCGTTAAAAATTATAAAATTCCAAAGATAAAACGTGTACTTGAAATTGAACCTACAAAAGAATTATCTGAGAAATCTAAAAATACTGAAATAAAACAGCCTGAAAAGAAATTGGAAGATAAAATAAAGGAAAATGTTATTAGTCAAAATAAAAATGACCTAGAGTGTAAGAAAATTTCAATAGAAAGAAAGTCCAAAAAAACTGAACAAACAACTGTAGATGTTTCTAAATCAAATACACAAATAGAAACTACTGAAAAGAGAATTACAAGGTCAAATACAAAAGAAAGTGAGTTATTATCTCGGAGCCAACATGTTACAAAATTTAAAAGACGAATTCGGGTTTATGACTCTGACTCTGACGATAATTCAAAACATAGCGATACTAACTGTAATAAACATTCGAATATTGAAAATGAAATGCAAGAAAGGAACAAGACGAATGAACAAGACTTGGATTCTAGTTTTGGTGTAGATGATTTAGAAATGTTTTCTGACAATATTGGAGACCCTGTACTTGATAATATCAATGCTTTGATAGCAGATTTGGACGATGATCTAAACGCTCCTAAAAGTAATAGTAATAATAATTTTAGTAATGATATAAGCCTTGAAAATATGTTAGAAAACATTACGAGTCCAGTAATCGAAAGTCCTAATAAACAAAATGCGGACGATATAGCTCTAAGTGATATCACGGAAATAATAAAAAATGATGCACATGAAAATAATGAAATACTGAACGATGATTCGAATTTATCTACTTCTACTAATAATGCTACTTCAGATATATTACAGGAATCTCAAATTAGTCCTAGTAAGAAAAATCATAACAAAGATTCTACAAAAACACTTGCTCTTGAAAATGCTGGTGTACAGAGTACCGGCCAAAAAGAACCATTATTTACAGTTAAAGACGGTAACGAAGATTACGTGTCTACAACAGAAATTGATTCTAAAGTTCATAAAAAAGTAGAAGACGCTATAGTAGATCAAGATAATAATAAAAGTAGTGGTCCTTGTTCAATACCTGACAGTACGAATAATGTTATTTCATCAAATAAACCTATTATGGAAGATGGTTTACCAGATAGTACTAATGAAATACAGAGTGAAATGAATATTACTTCCACCCACGATTCAAGTGAAACGGTGAAATGTTCTGTACAACAAACTTCGTCAAATAAAAGTTTAGCTCCTGTAGTCGATTCTATAGGTAGTATATTATCGATTTTGCAAAATAAATCAAAAATTAAAGAATTATTGAGTATGTTAGATGATCAAACAACCGATAATGAGAAAATTAAAAAGAAACTTGAAAAATTAAGTGAAATTGTTTCTGATGATGAAGATACTAAAGATGGTACAGATGAGACTGGCACTAACAAAATATTAAATATAGAACCATCTAAAGCTTGTGATGACAATGATGCGACTTCAAGTAAAGAAACAATAGATACATATAAAAATACAATATCTGAAAACATTGATATAGAAGTACATGCAGAAAATCCTGTAACGCCTGAAACATTTGAGAACAATGAAACAATTTGTGATAACAAAGAAATATGTGAAAATAAAGAAGGAATGTCTAAGAATAATGAAAAAACTGATCAGAATAAAGTAGACGCGCTTAATAATGAAGAAGAAATATCGGAGAACAATGTAGGAACAAATGAAAACAGCGAAGAAAATATTTTAGCGGAAAGCGTTGAATTTGTTGAAAATAAAGAAACTAAAGAAAATCCTGTAGATAAAGTCACTATTAAAAGGGGCAAAATCATGAAACGGACTAAAAGTGGGAAATATGTAAGAAAAACTGTATCTAATGTAAAACGCGTGACTAGGTCAGAATCTGCTAGTTTACAGAAACCGAAGAAAAAAGTATCAAGAGAATTATTAAAACTACAGGAAGACATTAGAGAAATGTTTATAAGCGACGATATTTTAAATGCTACGGGAATTAGAATGTGTCGCTTAGCAAAGCTTGTGGATGAAAAAACTGCAATTCATAAAGATAATGTTAGTGGTGTTACTGATACCGAGCCAGTTGTTGTTTTAGAGAAATTCAAAAATGCTCCTTTAAATTTAGAAACACCACTTCCAGACAGTAAGACCAGAAAGATTATAAAAAAGAAACCTGGCCCTAAATCTAAAGTCCTTAAGGGTAGTTCTATTAACATAGAAACAAAAATAGAAAAAATAAAACACAAATACAAGCCGGGTCCAAAGTCTAAAACAAAAGTTGCTAAAAACCCTGATGTGGATCCCTATGAATTTGAAACGGATTCTATTACAGAATCAAGTATTAGTAAGATCAGTGAAGGTAGTTTAAAAGAAAGCTCAGATTCAGAAAGCGAATCTTTAGCATCTTCTAAAAGCTTTGAAAGCGCAGAGACATTATTTGATGTAAAAAAGAAACCAAAACGCAAAAGACCTGCTTGGAATGCGGGGGTTATTAAACCAAAGAATAGAAAACGGAAGGCTGACTGTACAAAAAATGTAGGACTGGTACAAAAAACCGAAACCTCTCCACGGAGAGAGGAAGTAACAATACCAGATATGAATTGTTTTACGGATAAGACATATTGTTTCTTAAAAAATGTCAGTACATACTCTTGTCGTTTATGTGTTTATAGTGGTAATGATATAGTAGCTCATTATAAAAAGCAACATCCACATTCTGAGATACCTTTGTCTCGATTGAATCCAGAAACAGCAAAAGAAGCCATAGAACAATGTGAAGATATTAATTTCCAAGCCATTAGTAAAATACCTATGAATAAATTTGTATGCAGATTTTGTCATAGCAAAGAATTTGGTAAAAAGAAAAACGCATTGGAGTCATTTTTTTGGCATGTCGTTAGCACACATACTGGTGAATATAAACAACTTTGTTCAAATTGTATCAACATTACCAGATGCCCATTCAATTTAGATATTCCTCCTCCTCCAAAAGATACGAAGGGTCAACTTATAGGTTACATATGCGGAAAATGTAATTTCACACAGATATCTTTGGAGAATCTCAAAACTCACGTAATAGTTCGCCATAATGATGAACAAACAGAAGTTTATACAATAAATTTGGCAGTGATGTCTAAAAAGTTGATAAATATTTTCTCAAGACAAAATAGTGTATCTGAAACGGACCAACCACGTAAACTCCGATGTACTCGTTATAATCAAAGTATGACCGAAACGAGCGATGACCGTAGTGATGTTACTGATACTAATGAGTCTTCATTTGAGATGGCGACCGACACGACACAAACTGTAAAAGATAAGAAAAAGACAGTGGAGGTCCTACATAAGTCTAGCTTTCAATCAAAGATTACCTTCGAAAATGATGATAGTGAAATATCAAACATTACAAATGCAGACGATATCTCAAAGGTTACAATAAAACAAGAAAAGGACGATGACGAAGTACGACAAGAAGGTAGACTTTTAGATGAAAAATCTCATACAGAAAGTGGACTTAACTCTAAAAATGTTGGAACCCGAACTGAATCCAAAAACACTACCAGTTCAGATATATTTGCGTATCCGCATTTCAAGATTGCCTACACAGAAACTGGAAACAAAGAATTTGTATGTTGTATAAACGGAAATGACAGACATTACAAGACATCGCTTCTGATATCTATGAAGAAGCACGTACAAATCAAACATAAAGAGAAGTGGGATGGATATTGCTTTATTTGCAAAGTGATTGTCACACCTCAAGGGCAGCATCTATTTAAAGACTGCTTACAACATTTTCTTGATAAACATATAGATGGTTTTCCTGTATTGGAGAAGGTGGCAAGCGAGCCCGAGAAACCAATCGAGGCATCAGCACCCGCTCCGAAGGCCTATATAAATGTTCGTCCATTATCAGAATTGAAAGAAATTGGCAACAAATCGGTAGAAGTGGGCTCAGCTGTTTTGCCAAAGATTGAGAGTGTTGTTAGCCTTAGCAACACTGAATCCAGCTCGAATTATCCAGTGGGATCCGTGACAGAGAAGCGGACGGGCACGGTACCGCGTCCAGAAGATGAACAATATAAGTTTGAAGAGGCACAAGTTGAAGTTATGTCTAAAAAGTACCATATAGTTCTGGAAGCTATGATGACTAAAGAGAAGTTAGTGAATGTTTACAAATGTCCCGGACGATTTTGTTCTTTCACCACTGACTCTGCTGACGTAGCTTTGATGCACGCGTTGACGCATCAGCAGATTGGTGGCGAGAATGCATTGAGGTGTGCATATTGCGATTTTGATTGTGGGGGCCACCCTATAGATTTAGTGGTCCACGTGTTCAAACATGGTGCGAGTCCATTCGTTTGCGGGTACTGTTTCTACAGAGCGGTAGTCAGTCAGTTGGTTATTGCACATATAAACAGAGCCCACGCCGGCAAGCCATTGCGCGTGCTTCACGCGACAAATGCTGCAGCGCCACCTTCCCAAAATGATGCTGTCATGTTATCCCGTGAAGTCGTCGTTCCTTACTACATATGTAGGCACGGTAGGTAAAATTGATACTGATATTTGAGGTTTATACTTTATGCTTTTGAATACAAAGTCAATAAGTTATGATATACCAACAAGTTTTAATATATCTATTGAAAGTAACAATCATGACAATGACAGGTCATTTATTGAAAAGTGATAAATGTCTCTTAGTCATGAACAAGTAAAAGAAATACTGTTGTTTAAGAATTAGACTTTAACTTAATCATAATACTATAAATTCATCTAATCCGATCAAGGAAACTTTGTACGATTTGTACGATATAAATACAAAATTAATCGTATTATGATTCGAGTAAAATGATTCTCTAAACGGCAAGCGAATTTATCAGCAGACGTTTTCGTTTTCCTCATACGAGAAAACAAGATGACGTATATTGCTGTCTCATTCTCTCTCTTGTACACGACCGTGTCTAAAGATATATTCGTACGCCAATTGTCTAAGGAGGTGGCGGAGTTTTCGGATGGTATGCGTGTACATTAGACTATTATTTGGGACGCTAAAAGCTTTGATAATATGATGCCCAAGAATTTTTTTCCAATACCTAGTAGGAGCTTTTGTAATTTCAGTTATGTATGTAGCAAGTGTGATTACGGTGAACTTTTTTAAATTTGAGTATTCACTAAAGATTATGTCACTAGAAAGTATTTTATAAAATGCTTTATTATATATTTCGTGGACATTCGCTTTTTTGGGAACTGGAAGTTAAAAGCACAGTTGAAAGGTCCACCGATGTTGAAGTAGAGTTACGCTGAAAGTCAACTTTATATATCTTATGGACCTAATATGGTTGTTTTCTGCATAGCTAGCTTCAGTTTTTTTTTAACGGATGATAATGGAATGGTAACCCCACCCGTGCTATCGGTATACATCGGCGGGGCACCAGTGAAAGTTGATAGGTGAGGATGAAGTAGGTCAGTTAGCCTATCGTGACGAATTCAACAAGAATTGTTCACGATGGTTTCCAGGGGGAACCACGTGGAGATCGACCTAATAAGGCATATTGCTAGCAATGGGGCTGTCAAACTCCATTGCTAACAATCCCTTTCCCCCAATCTAGCTTTCAGTTTAGGTACTTCAACACGACACGATATCGCATGAATTGACTTTCACAATATCGATTGAAACTTTATTGTTTCTTTCAAAAGGTTACGGTAGTACACTTATTAAAAGTATGTAATAGAATGGCAGTGTTTTTCAAAGTGTGGGTCACGACCCCCCGTAGGAGGCGTGGGGGTTGCCAAGCCTCTACAATGTCGCGGAAGGTCACAGTGCACGCATTATTAGCTATTTATCTCTATTATTGTCCTATCGCTTTTCTGTGTAGCCGTTTCGCAATGTAATCGATGTCTGTTTTAGGTACTCCATTATTGTACTTGTATTATTTCATTATCATCACCATATCGGCCTTTAACTGTTCGCTGCTGCATAAGCCTCCCTTGGTAGTTTTGGCCAATAGTTGCCACGCTTGGCAGGCGGATTAGCAACCGCAGTCAGGCTTTAGAGATGTTTTAAAAGGGACGCTGTTGCCCATAAGCCGACTATGGAAGGGCGAGGCTTCCTTAGCTCTTACGACACCCACGGAAAAGGAAGGGGTGGCCTATTCTATGCTGGGACCATACGACCATGTACTATTTATTTTATTGTATTTAACTTATATTTAACTTATATATGAAAATAAATCAAAATGTACGGATTTTATATTTACAATATAATAAAATACGTACAGGTTAGATTAATCTCCACAGGAGACAATAATATGTACAGGTTAGAAACCGGGAGGGTAGGGGGTCGCAAAATATTTTCGTATAATAAGGGGGTCGCCCCATGAAAAAGTTTGAAAAACACTGGGATAACAGAATGTATGTAATTATAATAAGTGTCACACAATTATCAACACGCTAAGTTATGAGAAATCAGGCCACGAACATTTGGACTAGGAATCGAACCCCGGGAGGTCATTTATGCAAAGCAACGATTATAACACGCTTTTAATTTTGTGGCTGTCATGGAAGTGAATGGTTTTTTAAATGGATGATAATGGAATGGTAACCTCGCCTCCGCTAACGGTACACGCTGGCGGGGCACTAGTAAGGGATGATAGGTGAGAATGAAAAGACAGGTCAGTTGGCCCATCGTGATGAATTCACTTGGAATTGAACACGGTTATCCATGGAAACCCCAGGGGTAACCGCGAGTAGGTTGACCTGATAAGGGGTATTGCTAGCAATTAGGCTACTAATGCCCATTATCAACAATCCCTTCTCCACGTTGGATGTGTATGGTATGACAGGCGATATCGTGTATATGGCCAAAAATTTAAAATCAACTATATAATTATGCCATTTTACTTTCCTATTATATCGTCATAAAATCATTTCGATACGCTATAGTCGCTACGAGGGGGGAGAAGAGATTGGTAGTAATGAGTATAAGCAATCTCGTTGCTAGCAATAAACTCGTCTTCAGATCAGGTCGACTTCCTCGCTGTTCACCCTGGAAACCATCGTGATTGATTTATTGTTGAATTTGCCACGATGGGCTAACTGATCTGCTTCATCTTCACCTATCATCCCTCACTGATGCCCCGCCAGCGTATATCGACAGCGCAGGCGGGTTTACCATTCCATTATCAACTATAGTAAATTATAAAAGCGTTTAATCCCTTGTGACGTAAGCATGTTACCAGAATATTCTTCATTGATATATAAATCAAGTTTTTGTAATTTTCAGAGGAAAAAGACGGACGGTGTAAATTCCGTACTTACACTGCGCGCAAATTTACTGATCACCTACTGCAGCGTCATTCGGATGCCACGTATCACTGTTGCCACGTAAGGAATTTTTTATATTAATTAAAAAAAGAGTATAAAAAGAAAAAGAGCTTTATATATATGCAGCTTAAAGCCCTAATTCTAATGGTTAAAGAATTTTTGAAATCGTATCACATTGAGTCTTTTAATTCAAAAATACAAAATTAGTGTAGATATACATAATGTTGAATTAAGTTCTATTTCTTTTTACAATGGGATCAATTCTGACACGCCATAACTTGAAACCTAGATAGGTTATATATATATATATATATATATATTAATAGTTGGCGAAATTACTATTGAATGTCTATCAAATTTATAATTATTTTGACATAAATCTATTAAAAATTTAGAGACAGGTTTTTACTATTACGTGGTGTGTGTATATACAGGAGTATTTCAATTCAAATAGACTTGTTAATAAGTACTTTTAAATGGGGGGAAAGGGATTGTTACAAATGGAGTTTGACAACCCCATTGCCAGCAATATGCTGTTATGCCAGCAATTAGGTTGATCTCCACGTGGTTCCCCCTGGAAACCGTCGTGAACAATTCTTTTTGAATTCGTCACGATGGGCCAACTGACCTGCTTCATCCTCACCTATCATCCTCCACTGGTGCCCCGCCGGTGTACACCGATAACGCAGGCGGGGATACCATTCCATTATCACCCATTAAAAAAAAGTACTTTTAAATTGATATTTTTTTAATGTACGTTTCGGAAAGATATTATCTGTTGAGAAGAGCCCGCAAGAAACTCAACAGTTACTCTTTTAAATCTCTGTTAACATTATGTGTACTAATTAAAATGTACTATAACTAAAATTACATGGTCGTTAAAAACCCGTGCATGATTGACTAACACCATGCACGTTAATCATTCAAGTAATCGTTTAATGTGTGATAAACTTTGTTCAATAAGTGTTTTGTAATAACAGTTTTAAATTTATCAACACTTTGCTCACCGGGAATTCCGTTATGGTTGAAATCTTTGAAAAAATACACTAAAATTGTGATAAAAACCTAAATACAAAAAAAGTTATATTTTAGCCATACACGCTTTGTAATCCAAACGGTGTTGCCTGTCGTAGTTTTTTTAATGGGTGATAATGGTATGGTAATGGGGGAAAAGACCCATCCGCCGGCGGGACGACGAATGGGTCTCTATGGCTTTCGACCTGCATTGCGATGCAATATTGAGGGAGAAACTCTTTTTTATCGATTTAATACTCACTACGTTGAACAAATTCAATGTAATATATCATAGGTGTTGTATAGTAATCATATAGTTATAAATAAATATATAAAGTCTTCTTTCTTATACATTTTAAAATAGCTATATAATTTAAACAGTAAATACATATTTTTTAATTCTATTTAAAATCACAAAGCTTCGTTAATCACAGTGTTGCGGGGGGAAAGGTATTGTTAGTAATGGAGACTGAGAATCCCATTGTTAGCAATTTACCCAACCAGGTCGACTTTTTCGCGATTCTCCCTGGAAACTATCATGGTGAATTCATCAATTCTTCATGATGGGCTAACTGGACCGTTTTCATTCTCATCTATCACCCTTCACTGGTGCTCCGCCAGCGTATCCCGTTAGCGCAGGCGGGGTAACCATACTATTTTCACCAATCAAAAAAAAAAAATCCCGTCTGCGCTATCGGTATACTTTGGCGAGGCACAACTGATGAGGATGAAAGCAAGGCAGTTAGCCCTGACGAATTCAAATAGAATTAGCCACGATGGTTTCCAGGGGGAACCACGTGGAGGTTGGCCTGACAGGGTATATAGCTAGTAAGGGGGCTATTTGATCCCATTACTAACAATCCCTTTCCCACCTGCCCGTCATGGTAGGAGGACGTACCTACACGCTAGTGCAATAACGAGTTGTACTTTGGTATCTTAATATAATATTTAATTTATACAACTTAGAATGGCAATAGCTGACGGCCCACCTGATGGAAAGTGGTAACCGTCGCCTATACACATGAACAGTACCATGGACATAACAGAGTATACTGTTTCGCCCATGATACCCCCCATGCGTTGCCATTCCTGAGGACTCAGGTGTTATTCCTCTGTACCCAGTAAATTCACGCCATATCCCACCCTACAAAACGAAACACAGCCATGCAAACACAACTGCTTCACGGTTTACTTTAATGTATTCACTACTTGTACTTTACGATTGGCTACTATGCGTTACAGGAGTGCTCGGCGCAGTTCTCGACGCCGCCCGAGCTGGTCCATCACATGAAGGAGCATAACTATAACCTGTACCAATGCACGTGGTGCTTGCACGGCGCTGATGGCGAGTCCGAGCTGCTGTCTCACGCCGCCGCCGCGCACCCCACTCGCCTGCCGCAGGCCTACCTTCGCATCATCACTACTAAGGTTACTTCCTACTCAAGATATTAAAAATGGCAGCCTACCTATTATATAATCGGGGGATTGTTAGTAATGCAGACTAACAGTCCCATTACTAGCAATATACTCTGTCAGGTCGACCTCCACGTAATTCTCCCTGAAAACCATACTGGTTAATTCTTGTTCAATTGGTCCTATTGTTAGCAATACACCCTGATTTGCTAACAATGGGCCTATTTAACCTCATTACTAACAATCCCTTTCTCCGGGCAAATACAGTTATGTTCATCTAAGGTTTAAAATGATAATGGGGTTGATTCATAGGCGTCGTTTCATTAAATTAAAATTCAATTTAATATAACAGCGAAATCTTAATTGTAAGGACCAAAATGAACTAATTTTCTAATAGATTATTATAATTTTAGATTATGATGGTCCATAAAACATTATTTTCCCAAAATCAAATTAACATATTAGGTTAAGAGGTATAGAGAAGTGGCGCTGTGAGAATTGTGAGCATATATTCAATTTTTTTATGCAACTTAGAATGGCAAACAAGCTGACGGCCCACCTGATGGAAAGTGGTAACCGTCGCCTATAGACACGAGCAGTACCATGGACATAACAGAGTATACTATTTCGCCCATGATACCCTCTCATGTGACACCACCATTTTTGAGTTCAAGTAAAGATGTATGCTCATCTTGTTTGTTTACAGGAGGGTTCCTCAGAGTACAGAGTTCTGCCTTTAGCATCCTTTAACAAGTCCAAAGTGACAACTATAGAGGTAACACCAAATCCAACCAACGAGAACCCTGTCAGGGAGGCCGAGAGGTCTATCGAACTAGAGAAGCTTATTGGCTTCACTACACAATTAACTATGTCAATGGAGACCGCAGAATCTGAAGTAGACAAAAACAGAGAAGACAATAGCCAGTTTTCCACTGATCTACCACAAAATATGGCAGTACTCGAACCTATCCTGGCTGGTTTGAATAGAAATGATCCTCTCCCACCACACACGACTCCACCTCATCCTTCGACGTCTCAACCGCAAGCAGATTTAAGTCATCAAGATACTTCCGTACTGAAAACTGAACCTGATTCGGCAACACCTTCGAAAGAATCATCAGATGACGTTGTCTGTCTAGATAGTGACGACGATTTGTCTAGACAGACCGTGATCGATCTGTCTGAAGAAGATGCGAATCGATCGGATGCCTCAAAAGCAGCAGATGGATATAAAAAGATCCCGGAAACATTATTATTCAAATGTCCGAAATGTAAACTGGTATTTAAAGGCGGCCCTGGGCTAAAAATACATTTAACTTCATGTTACGGAGGTATCGTCTTGAATATTCCGTGTGCGCACTGCTCCAAAATGAATGAGAATAAAGAACAACTCGCTGCACACTATGTCAGGGATCACGGCGTGAAGAGTAGCTATCTATGTGGTATTTGCGGCGCGCCCAACGTCTCATTAGCAATGGTAAAAAAACACGTTAAGGCTGAGCATAAGGTGACAAAAATGGTAGTATCGGCCAAATATGCAGAAGATGGCACCTTTGAGCATACAGTGACAGCGTCGAGCAAGCCCGCAAAAGCTATGCGAGCACCAAAACGAAAACTTTCATCGAGCAGTGGATCTGAATCACAGCCGAAGCTCAAACGATACGGGCCACAGGATATCGATTTGTTGCCTATCAACCCCATACTTGATGATCTAGTGCATTGCTCAGTATGTAGTTTCAGTACGAAAGTCCGCTTGAACATGGTGCGGCACCTGCAGTTCCACGCGGAGCAGCAGCCCGTGCCTCAGATGGCGCCGGTCAATCCTGTACCCCATTTAGAAACAAATGAAATGCACTTTGATAAAATGGTTAACCTCGCTTCTAGCTCTATTGTTAATCGAGTCGAAAAGGCAACAAGATCGGAATCGGCTCCTGTGGTGTCCACGTTCATACCTCCCGAAGTAGCATCCAGGTATCCTAAGTATGTGCCTGAACGGCAACGCCACACCTGCGGCGCCAAAGGCTGTTCCTATATCTCAGTGGACGAAGCCATGCTGAAATGTCATTGGGAAACTTTACATTCAGGGTCGAACAATTTCCACTGCGTACATTGCCCGCCTTATCAGCATTTGGATACATCAAAGCCTTTGACGGCTTCGCGTATATTAGCTCATCTGAAAATGCACGACACGACATTGTACGCTTGTTCTTCCTGTTCGTATTATCATTATAAGAGACAGGTTGTAGAGAAACACTTGTCAGAGATTCATAAAGGTAGTCAATTGATGGTTGTTAGGGAGGAAACCACATCTGCACCCAGCACACAGCCTACACAGCCAGTTGTAACTGCACCGACTATGGACTTGAAGCCTTGGCAGTGTGGACTGTGTAAATTCAAGAGCATGCTCCGACCAGAAGTAATAGAACATTGCGCAAAGTTACACCAGTCGAAAATGCAGTTTAAATGTGCATATTGTCCCTTCAGAACATCTACATTAGAGAATGTTACTAAGCACCAATCAAATGCGCATTCAGGAAAAGTTGAAGATATTTTCTATTATTACTACCGTGAGGGTTCCATTCCGGACGAGCCTGATGGTAAACCTCGCTGGCTGATTCAGCGTCAAAAGGCTGGCTTGACAGCGGAGGCGGAGGTCAAGACAGAGGTTCCTGATCCATCCCTGCCTAAGGAACCTATGAGTTCAGTTCAGTCACCACCACCGCTAACGGTTGATCTCAATATTGTAAAGAAAGAAGTGGACGTAATACCTGCTACAGAGCTCTCAATGGAAGACCTCTGCAAGAAGTATGGCAATTTCTGTGATACAAATGGACTGAAATATAAATGTCCTCTATGTAAAGTGGTTACCGAAGATGATAAGGAATCTATGCAGTCACATTTATATGAAGAACTACAATACAGGAAGTGAGTATATGCTTTTTCAATAATATAAATATTTAATTTCCATACTATATCAATTGAACTATATATTTTTATGTAATAATATATTTTTTACAGGTGGGCTTGCGTTGTGTGTACCTATAAAGCATTCCATAAGGCTGGTCTGTATGATCATATGTCTTCCGAGCATCCAGGACAGTACCAATCGCCAAAGGAACTGCAGGTCGACGTTAACATTGAAAATTGGGTCACTGGATTACTAGAACATCAAACAAAATTGATTCAGAGCAATAAAGAGAACTTGGCTAAACAAAGGATACAGATACCCCCACCTGTTCCTTCCACGTCCATTGTACATAAACCGGCGGTAATACCAAGTAGCTCATCTAAGGCCAATATGAAGGAGCTTGAGCAAGCTTTCGGTCCATTCGGTGGACCCAGCAATTCCTTATTCAGTTGCCCAAAATGTGCTTTCAAAGTGAAGGACGAGGTCGCTATGTACGCCCACTTGGAAAGTGAATTGACTAAAATTAGGTATGTTGTATTGCAAATTAAATATTCGCTGTGGCTTGAATACTTTCATTGCTAATATATGCTTATGTGATGTATATTATTCAGAAAATATTGTGTATTTAAAGCTCAAATATGTACATACATTAAATACTAAAGCCTGCTTATATACAATATTGCTTAAGTTTTATCAATGCCATGACTCGTGTATAATGCTTATTGTATATTATTAATTAATGCATAAAGTACTATGATAATAGCAGTTGTATTTAGCTGAAAATCAGCCATTCATAATGTCCCATTATATCACCATAAATATTTTAGCATATCATACAAACATTGCAGATGGTGTTGCAGCAAATGTTCAGATAACTTCCAAACGTATCACGAAGTGCAGTTCCATTGCAAGAGTGTCCACGATGGACAGTTCGCTCGGCCCATAGAGGCTATACGCGACACTGCGATACGAACTTCTTGGGTCACCACCGTTATACAGGTGCAAAAACTCGGTATGAAAAACACCCACATGGAAAGCATCGAATCCTCATCGGAGAAATCCGACGTCGATAATTCTTTATTAGTGGTTCGATATGAAGAAAACATCCACATACCGGAAGAAGTAGTCCGAAGAAAAAGACCAGCTCCGGGGCCCTCCGGAGACAGTGACGATGAAAGGCTCGTCATAGACTTGCCATCCGATAATTCACCTGTTGCTAAGAAATTTCATGGAAAATGTCCATATTGCGAGTTTGAGACAAACACACGATCTGAACAAGTTGTCAGATGCCACATTCTCAGGCACTACAATCTGAAACCGTACAAGTGCCCGATTTGCGATTACAACAATCATAGGCCGGCCGTGGTGAGCCACATTGAGGTGAAACATTCAAACACCTCTGTACATCCCACGCCCGTTGCCATACCAACTGGCCCGCCGCTGATTTTAAACCTTCAGGAGCAGAAGTTTAGGAAAACGGCTGACGCGGAGGACGATGGCCAGAAAAGTGTTTGCTTATTGTGTGAAAAGCTTTTCACCGAAACGGAAACCTTAAGCCATATGCACGATAATGTGTCTCCCGATTTCGCCAAGAAAGGCGACGTAGTGGTCAAATGCTGCCTGTGTCTTTCTCTCTGGAAAGACGTTCCCAAATTACAGGAGCATCATAACAGTGTTCACTCGAATGTACAAATAAATTACGCTTATTTCCGGCTGCTGCATGACACGAGAAATGTTCAGTGCTGCGGCCATTGCAACAAACATTTTAAATCTATCAGGGATTTGAAACGGCACCATGAGGCTGTTCACAGGTCTCTAACGTTAAAGAGTAAAGTCATACCTTTCGTGCCGTCAACTGTAGTTAACTTTGACGACGCAGAGGCGGCAAAGGCTTCCGATATGGGACCTTCAATTAAGAGAGTCGCAAAAAAGTCCACGACCAAATTACCAGTGCAGAGAGTTGCCAAAAAATCAACAACCAAGTTGCCCCTCCATTTTAACCCTGATCTCGAGGAATATTCATATTACGGGCAAAAACGAGCGCCTCTTGAAGACTTCCCGAATGTAACTACGCTTATGCCATTCTACAATAGAATAATGTCGTTCCCCATAAAGAAATTAAGTGAAATTATCGACATTGATCCTAAAGTTGTTGTGAAAGATTTTAAAAGTGGGACACAGTGATTGTGATAAACAATAATAGTGTAGTGTAGATTTAAATAACCCATAGTTGTCTTAGATTATTTATGGACGTTTGAAGTTGCATTGGTTGATCTTGTATTGCCAAAATATCAAAAATATAATTAAGTTCTCAAAGTGTAGCTTCCTATAGATTTGTCAATGCAACTTGTATGAACGATATAAAATGTCTACGGCAACATAATCTGTGATTATAATATTTTATAAGTTTTTAATATAAGTAATATTTTAGTTGTTGTTAGTATTACACACCTCGTGATCGTAACAATTGCGGCATTTATATTTTTGTAGAACCAACTGCTTATTGCTAGGTTTACTCTTTTAGTTTATAGTCTTAGTGATTTCTGTATTCCCGATATGTTTTCGATTGTACAGATTAAAAAATAATTTTTAATACGAAAAAGTGGTTAGTGACCAAATATTAATAATGTGTAGAAAATCGGATATCACAAAATTAATATTATGATCTGTGCAGACGAGGGACAATTGGTCTGTGAATATTTGACTCCGGATTTGAGATCTGAGGACGGTGAACGGTGCTCGGATATCATAGGAGCATATATTTTAGACTGTTATTGGCTACATTTATACGAAAAAAAATCTATGTACAGACAAATTGTCTGTTGTACGAGGTCTGTCCGGAAAGTTCGTATAAAAGTGTTCTGGAATGCGAGAAAGAGGAGTGGGGAGGCCAGGTAAGCGCAGGACCCCTTCCTTATGTCCCTAACAATGCTTCAGTTCTGGTCTGACCGCCGTGCGGTGCGAACTGGCTTGTCACGCCATCTGTGAAGTTACCTCTTAACGAAACCCCGTCGGCATGGAGCCCGCTTCCGTTGAAGAGCAGCGCGTCGTAATCAAGTTTCTCTCGAAACTCGGCAAGAATGGCCGTGAAATTTTTGCCGATCTCAGAACAGTTTATGGGGATGATGCTATGAAGGAACCAACCGTCCACAAGTGGCTAAAAAGATTCAGAGAGGGCCGAGACAATGTTGATTGTTTTTTTCGATGTTCGGGGGATTGTCCATCAAGAATTCGTCCCTCCAGGCCAGACAGTTGATGGAAAATTCTACGTCGATGTGCTCAGACGCCTCAAAGCTCGTGTGGCACGAGTTCGTCCAGAATTGGCGCGAGAGGGGCGTTGGATTCTTCACCACGACAATGCCCCTGCCCACACCTCTCTTGTTGTCCGTGAGTTTTTGAGTAAAAATTCCATTACGGTGACCGAACACCCCCCTATTCGCCGGATTTGGCCCCGTGTGACTTCTTCTTGTTCCCAAAAACCAAATTGGTACTTCGGGGGCGGCATTTGGGGGACATAAATGAGATAAAAAAAGCTACGACGGGGCAGCTGAGAAACCTACAACCAGAGGACTTTCAAGGAGCCTTCTCACAGTGGAAACGGCGTTGGCACAAGTGCATTATGTCACAGGGGGAGTACTTTGAAGGGGATAAAATTGATTTACCTGAATAATTGTAAAATAAAATTTTTAAAAAACTTTTATACGTACTTTCCGGACAAACCTCGTACGCACAGGTTCTAGTAATACACTTACCAACTTGTCAAATAGTCCCAAATACACGTTAGATTAAGGTTTAATAAATCACTGATTTGTTTCATTTTGTGATTAAGTATTAATTTATTTTTTTTATACGCTCTTAAGTTAGGATGTTACTCTAGCATCGATTACGTTTCCGCTTCTCAGCGGTTTTTATTACAAGACTGACTCTGACTGGGAGTTCGGGATATATCTTGAAAAAAAAAAGTCTCAAGAAATAGGTACATACTTTTTAATAAAAAAATTAAAATCCTATTTTGCTATTATTAATCTTTATGACCATCGCCTTTTCCAGCGTTAATTACATAACATCTTCCTTGTCTGTCCTTATCTAAGGTAATTATAAAGATTAAACCACGTCTGTCTTTAAAAACAGGACTGACAACATTCTAATAAAAAATACTCGTACCAAGTAATTTAGAAGTTTTTTATTATTAAAAATGTTATAGTATTTTGTGTTTATATTTGAAGATCAGATTTCATACTAAGTGATGGAAAGTTTTGGGAATTGAAAATAATATCAGTTGTCACTACAGTACAGTCTAAGTACAGTCTGTCAGTAAATTTTATATACAGTCGGCTTCATTAAGATGTCAAATAATAGGATATCAAAAATAGTTTTTCTTCAAAAAATTTGTTTGGAAATTTGAGTTTCAGAAACTATCCGTCAGGTGGCACTGTTAAGTTTTTAATACAAACTTGATCATGACTATTTTTTTTTGAATGGTGAAAATGGTATGGTAACCCCGCCTGCGCTAACGGGATACGCTGGCGGAGCACTAGTGAAGGGTGATAGATGAGAATGAAAACATGTCAATTAGCCCATCATGATGGATTCATCAGGAATTAACCATGATAGTTTCCAGGGGGGACCGCGAGGAGGTCAACCTGGTTGGGTATATTGCTAGCAATGGGATTCTCAGTCTCCATTACTAACAATCCCTTTCCCCCTGATGATGACTATGTAGGTCGGTCCACCACATACATTGTTTTTGCAGGTACTATCCTTTATCTATGATAGTTTTAGTCTAGCCTAGAAGGCCTCTACTTACAGTAGTGGGCATCAGTTAAGATTGATATATGAGGATGAAAGCAGATCAGTTAGCCCATTGTGACGAATTCACCATGAATTAAATACGATAGATTCCAGGATACCGTGTGGTATTTTTTTAATGGATGATATGTAATAGAATGGTTAGACTCCATTACTAACAATCCCTTCATTACTAACAATCACTAACAACCCCCGACGGTAATATATATTTAAAAAGGGTGATAATGGAATGTTACACCAGTGAGGGATGATAGGTGACGATGAAAGCAGGTCAGTTAGCCCATCGTGACGAATTTCATTAGAATTAACCACGTTGTTTCCAGGGGGAACCACGTGGAGGTTGACTTGATAGGGTGTGTTGCTAGCAATGGGTCAGTTGGACTCCATTACTAACAATCCCTTTCCCCCATCCCTGACGATAATAGGTAGGTAGGAGAACAAATAAGTATCGGCTATGTAGAGCATTAGAAAGGGAGATTTTTAGAACAAGTTTTTATGATAATGGAAGGTTATTTCACCTGTGATATGTTGGAGGAGTACCTCCAACAGAGCATGAAGTCGGTTTACACGGCCTATCGTGATAAATCTACCACAAAAATTTTTATACAACTTAGAATGGCAAACAAGCTGACGGCCCACCTGATGGAAAGTGGTAACCGTCGCATATAGACATGAACAGCGTCATCGCTATAACAAAGTATACTATTTCGCCCATGATACTCCCCATGCGTTGCCATTCCTGAGGACTCAGGTGTTACTCCTCTGTACCCTGTAAATTCACTGCTATATCCCACCCTACAAACCGAACCACAGCCATGCAAACACAACTGCTTTACGGTTGAACCACGAATGCCTCACACCTGTATTGCCCGCCCACACATCATCCGGCGGGCAAGAGATGTCCATGTTGTTGTTGAACCATGAATGGGACAGAGGTACCTAAGCAAACGACTTTTGTACAGTCTCTCTCTGGTTAGATCGCGCTTTTTTATGTCATAGAAAATTATAACTTGTTTTTTTTTTCTGTTATAGTCAGTAGATGGAGCTGTAGAAAAATACAACACGATTTCTTTAATTTCTTATGCAGCTAAATGATTTTTTTTTTAATTAAGCGAGATTTATAGAATATCATAAAGTGTTTTGTTTTTGTTAAAGGATTTTGCATAGACGTTTGAATGTAAAACGATTTTTCGACATAAATAAGCACGATAAAATGGTGGCACAAAAATTGAAGGTTAATGATATTAGATATTTCCTTAATTTTAACATAATAAAGCACCATAACACATATGGTGCCACAAAAAATTGGAGGTTCTCTTTTCGTCTGAATTTTAAATAGGATGTTTAGCGAGATTAATCTCGATCGGAGACAAATTAAATCGCGTTGTATTTTTATACAACTCCCTCTAGCGATTATGGTAGACAGTTTCTATATTACAGTATTGACAGCTTTTTACATTACATACCTACCTAGTTTTATGCACGAACCTAACTTTGTAATGTCGGTGGGAAAGGGATTGTTAGTAATGGAGACTGAGAATCCCATTGCTAGCAATATACCCAACCAGGTCGACCTCCTCGCGGTCCCCCCTGGAAACTATCATGGTTAATTCCTGATGAATTCATCATGATGGGCTAACTGGCCTGTTTTCATTCTCATCTATCACCCTTCACTGGTGCTCCGCCAGCGTATCCCGTTAGCACAGGCGGGGTTACCATACCATTTTCACCCATAAAACAAAACTTTGTAATGTAAGTAAACTAAATAATCCGTTTAAATTGAAACGTGTACAGATTTTTTTTGTAATAGAAATTTGAGAAATTACACTTGAAAAATATGTTCACATAACACTAAAAGGACGGGACAGCGATGTTTTTACAATCTGCTAAAATATTTATATGTTTTTATGAAGTAAATATCTATGTCGGGGGGAAAGGGATTGTTAGTAATGGAGACTGAGAATCCCATTGCTAGCAATATACCCAACCAGGTCGACCTCCTCGCGGTTCTCACTGGAAACTATCATGGTTAATTCCTGATGAATTCATCATGATGGGCTAACTGGCCTGTTTTTATTCTCATCTATCACCCTTGAGCTGATGCTCTGTCAGCGTACCCCGTTAGCGCAGGCGGGGTTACCATACCATTTTCACCCATCAAATATATATATATATATATATATATATATATATATATATATATATATATATATATATATATATATATATATATATATATATATATATATATATATATATAGCACGACGATTTATGAATCATTCACAAACTAAGATAATTTTTATCAAATACCGATAATATACACGCATTCTTATGACTTTCCTTATTTCGTTGCAGGTGTTTGTTTTCTTGTTAATTACTAGCTTACTAACATATGCCCGCAACTTCGTATGCGTGGATTTTAGAGCTGATCATCTTCATCAGACGTTAATTTTCCACTGCTCAACATAGGTCTTTCTTTATTGGTGGGTTTTGCCGTTAGTTGCCACGCTTGGCAGGCGGATGGGCAACCGCAGTTAAGTTTTGGTGATGATTTAACATGAATTGTAGAGATACCACATCTATATGGCGTGTTAAGATAAAACGTAAATCAGATTTTAAGTTAGTTGCAAGAATACAATATAGAGAGAGAACGTAGGGCATTGGCGATTCGAGGTTATATGCTGTCCCATAGATTTGCCCGATCTTCGGACCAGGTCAAGATTATACTGTTCAAGGCGTATTGTCAAGGTCTCTACACTGTTATGTACAATGACATTTTCAGGGTAATATTGGGACTCCCCCACTTCTGTAGCGCCTCAGAAATGTTCGCTCAAGCACGGATTTATGGTTTCCATGCCATCATTCGTAAGAATGTTGCGTCAATAGTGAACAGAATGCGGGGGAGTGACAACACCATCCTTAAATTGATAGCCGAGGATGTCCATGCACCTATGTTGGGGCATCTCGTCAGGACGATGACTAAAACTCAAAATAACCATGCACTGGTTTTTTAATTTTGAGTCTAGTACTAACAACACAGATCTTGTGGGGGGAAAGGGATTGTTAGTAATGGGGTCTAATTGACCCATTACTAGCAATACACCCTATCAGGTCAACTTCGTTAATTCGATTGGAACTCGTCACGATGGCCTAACTGACCTGCCTTTTCATCCTCACTGGTGCCCCGTCAGCGTATCTCGGTAGCGCAGGTGGGGTTACCATTCCATTATCACTCATTAAAAAAAATCTTGCTGTCTGGCATTAAATGGATTTGAATTTGAACAACATCAAGGTTGTTAATTCAATATATATATATATATATATATATATATATATATATATATATATATCTAAGACAACAACGAGACACCTGTGAATTATCAATGCTTGATAATAATTATCTTAATTTATCCAATGAATTAAAGCTTATCGTAGTTTATATAGGTCTTTCGAATAATGAAATATTTTAATCTTATTGTGTTATTTCGTTGTAAACATGTTGCGAACAATAACATTGGTCGGTGTGTTTTTGGTTGTGGTGAACGGGCAACTCTCCACTCCAGTTAGTACTTGTAAGTATGGGCATTGTTTGGTGGGCGTTCCGTTATCTTAAATGTTTGACCCCTGATTTAGGAAACAAACTGTCTGAATTAGTTCGTGTATTGGTGTACTTTTTTTTTTGATGGGTGAAAATGGTATGGTAACCCCGCCTGCGCGGGGAGAAAGGGATTGTTAGTAATGGAGACTGAGAATCCCATTGCTAGCAATATACCCAACTAGGTCGACCTTCTCGCGGTTCTCCCTGGAAACTATCATGGTTAATTCCTGATGAATTCATCATGATGGGCTAACTGGCCTGTTTTTATTCTCATCTATCACCCTTCACTGGTGCTCCGCCAGCGTATCCCGTTAGCGCAGGCGGGGTTACCATATCATTTTTACCCCTCAGAACAAAACCCCATCTCGCCGCAAGGGTGATAGATGAGAATGAAAACAGACCAGTTAGCCTATCATGATGAATTCATCAGGAATTAACCATGATAGTTTCCAGGGGGGACCGCGAGGAAGTCGACCTGGTTGGGTATATTGCTAGCAATGGGACTCTCAGTCTCCATTACTAACGATACCTTTCCCCCCTGTATTGGTGTACTAGGCTATGCCACAGTACCCATTCGTCGTCCCGCCGGCGGATGGGTCTCTTTGGTAGATTTTCAATCTAGTTAAAAAAAAAGTTATGCCTGATGATATTCGTCACCTGGCCTCCCATAACCTATCTTGAGGACCAGGCGATTTTTTTTTAATGTGTGATAATGGAATGGAAACTCCACCTGCGCTAACAGTATACGCTGGTGAGGCACTAGTGAGGGATGACAGACGAAAATGAAGCAGGTCGGATAGCCCATCATGGCGAATTCCATTACAATTAAAAACGATGGTTTCCAGGGGGAACCGCGTGGAGGTCGTCCTTGTACGTTGTATTGATAGGTATGAGTCAGTTAGACCCCATTACTAACAATCCCTTTCCCCCTGGATCATGTGTTTAGTGTGATTGTGTGCTATTTATTTATTTATTGTTTTCAGGCAATTCGAATCCGGGTCAACCACCAATTAACACATACATCGAGAATTGTGTCAGTCTCCCGTGCTTGCTGCCACAACTCCAGAATGTTGTTCTGAACATAGCATTTAGAGCTCGTATGTACATATTTTTTTAGTATTTATTATTTAGTATTTATTCATAAAGGACATTCAATGATTTTTCAAAAAAATACAATTAAGTTATATTTTCTGCTAGTATATTTACTGCAGTGTAGGGCGCGTCCCCACTAGTTGGAGTGGCCTCAAATGCATTGCAGGGAATCAGTGGATGCAGGTGACTCAGGAACGTTCCTTATGGCAGTTTATGGGGAAGGTTTATGTCCAGCAGTGGACGAATAATAGCTGAAATGATGATGATGATGGTATTTTTTATTAATAAACCAATTTCATATAATTATTGTTCATATATTAGTTTTTACTCTTGAGTTATTCACGTAACATGCATAATTACCCCTCTATCCCTAAATTCTATTATTAAAACTATTACACTGTTTTGCCACTTTCTTTCAAATTGGGAATTTAGTGTAAGAGAAAGAGACAAAACAGTTTAATTGCTAAAATAGATTTATAAGTAGTTTGACGTTTCTATAAATAACGAGCTATGTTAATTTATGAAACGAGACCACAGTTGAAACGAAAACACAGTAAATGATTAATTAAAGAGATGTGATACAGAAGGCGGCCTTATTTCTAAGCAATCTCTTCCAGACAACTTTTGGGTAGAGGATATTGTGAAAAAAGGCAAAGGGTAGGTGGCGCTGTATATATACTATATATATATATATATATATATATATATATATATATATATATATATATATATATATATATGGTTTATTAATTTTTTCACCGAAATGGTAATAATATGTGTAATTTTTGTGTTTCATTCATATATATTAGTAAAATCTACTTACGACAATTTAGAAATTTTACAACAAAAGGTTGGTTATTCTATAGGCCTTTCTTCTAGCGCCATCTAGTATCACTTATCTAACACAAGTTTTGTTTTAAAGTAGCTTTACTTAAATCTACCGAAATATTTACTAGATGGCGCTGAGAATATAAAATATTTAAATGCTAATGAAGAGAATGGTCAAATTCTGTCGCGCAGGTAGGAAACAAGCAGAGTAATAGACACACACACACACACACACCCACACGCACACGCACACGCACACGCACACGCACACGCACACGCACACGCACACTCACACGCACACGCACACGCACACGCACACGCACACGCACACGCACACGCACACGCACACGCACACGCACACGCACACGCACACGCACACGCACACGCACACGCACACTCACACGCACACGCACACGCACACGCACACGCACACGCACACGCACACGCACACGCACACGCACACGCACACGCACACGCACACGCACACGCACACGCACACGCACACGCACACACGCACACGCACACGCACACGCACACGCACACGCACACGCACACTGTGATTTTATTTTATAAGTATTTAAAGAATCTGTGTCACAATCGGTCCATTCGTTTAGGAGATACGACGCCACAGACAGACACACAGACACGTCAAACTCATAACATTCTTCTTTTTGCGTCGAAGGTCAAAAATAGTTTATCTGTATTTACTTTTTTTTTGTTCCAGCTCGCACAATCCGCAGTATGCGCACTTTAGCGACCGCCTACCTACCCCTGCTCGCAGGATTAGAACTCCCTGTGCCGTACGATCTCGAAGAGAATTCCATTACGTGCAACTTCTTCACCAACACGTACTGTCCCGTGCTGCAAGACGAGGTCGTGTTGTACACTCTTACTATGTACATAGAATCTTTCTTCCCGGTGGTAAGTAAAACTCTTTAGTGTGATAATAAAATTTTATGCCCGAGGGATTGGCAGCGGCGTTCCTTTTAACCCTTTGAGTGCCGACGAGCGCCATCGCGCTCGTGCGCATTCCAACTAAAAGTGCCACGAGCGGTATAGCGCTCGTGAAATCAGTCGCTGTTTAGCTTGCTGTAAAAAATATATTAAAATTGGATAATTTTTGGCGGAGATACAGTTTTTTTAGAGACAAGGGTAAATGACATCAACACGACAAAGATTTCTTTGGCATTTTTATGTAGATATGAGTAAAAATCAATGGCACTAAAAGGGTTAAAACATCACCAAAGCCTAACTATGGCGGTGGGAAGCGTATGTTAGTAACGGGTTCTAACGACCCAACATTACTAGCAATATACCCTACCAGGTCGACCTCCACGCGGTTCCCCCTGGAAACCATCGTGGTTAATTCTTGTTGAATTCGTCACGATGGACCAATTGACCTGTTTTCATCCTCACCTATCATCTATCACTGATGCCCCGCCAGCGTATACCGATAGCACAGGCGGGGTTACTACTCTATTATCATTCATTAAAAAAAAGCCTAACTATGCTTGCTAACCTACCTGTCAAGCGTGGCAACTACTGATAAAATCTTCAAAAGGAGAGGTCTTTTTAAATTTATTACTATTTCGTTTATTTATGCATTATTGATTAATAAGTATTTAGTAAAATTTTCGAATTTATTGGAGCTATACAATTTTAATTGTAGATATTGTACTATTAAATTAATATACATGCTATAAATTTAAACATCGAAATTAAATTTCTCACATTTAAAACTGGCAATTATTAATCATAGATAATAAAAAAAAATACACACGTAGGCACTATTCTTAATCTATGGTCTTAATCTATGCACATTATTGCTGGTGTTGCCAATAGAATTAATAATTTCTTTTTTATATATATATAGGGTACCGCAGCCGCTATAGAGTTCCGTGTAATAGACGAGAGTGACAATACTCCCGTATTCTGCCTGAGGGTCAATATTAGAATCACACCTCCAGTGGGTAAGGCAGGCAACTCTACGGTGATTGTAGAGCAATTGTCATCAGAACATTGATAAAGAATTAGTTATAAGTTAATTAAATTTATATTAAATTTCTATAATAACTGTCGGTATTCATATTGCATTGTAATTGTTTATTATAAAATATAAATAAAATAATAATTACCATATTTGTTTATTTCTTATTTTTGAGAGAAGCTTGCAGTTTAACTTTATTAATACCCTAGCTGTCGCCTGCGACTTCGTCCGCGTTTCCGTCGTTTTTCGTAAAATAAGTAGCCTATGTCCTTCCTCACGGTTCAGTGGTTTTAATGTAACGGACACATTTCCCTTCACTGCTCTGCCCTTATTGATGGTAGCGTGATGAAAAGTATACTATAACCTGCCCAGGAGTATGAAGAATAATTGTATCAAGTTTCGTTAAAATCCGTCGAGTAGTTTTTGTTTCTATAACGAACATACAGACAGACAGACAAAAATTTTACTGATTGCATTCTTAGCATCAGTATCGATCACTAATCACCCCCTGATAGTTATTTTGGAAATATATTTCATGTACAGAATTGACCTCTCTACAGATTTATCATAAGTATAGAAGATAAAGTAAAAAATAGTTCCTTTTTAACTATAACCCTGAGAAGTTTATATTGTTTTTATTATTAAATTTACCTTAGACTTTGTATTATTTCAACTTAATATTAATTATACTCTGGTCATCTTATTTACATATCTATACTAGTGTACAAAAAGGAAGTATTTGTGTTTGTTTGTTTGTTTGAACGCCTTGAACTCTGTAATTATACCAGTTGAATTTTAAAATATCTTACTCCATTTCAGAGCTCATTTCATAAGAAAGGTTATAGGCCATTTAATATATATCACAATATGAACATGAGCAAAACCGCAAGGTACTGTTAGTCTACATACATAATAATATTAACCAGTCTGGAAGAGCACCTCAGACGGTTGGGTTTCCGAGGTTCACTCCCGGGAAAGACGCAGAAAGATGTGCTCTTAGATATCGTCTGCATAGTACGCTGGTTTCTCTCCGTGGGGTCCTGAACCCCAGCCGACTGTGCTTCTGCCGAGGTTAGTATGCCATCTCGTCTCCTTAAGACGGGAGACGTGAATTTTGTTTACAAAAATATTAATTATTTAAATAAATAAATACAAAAGATTAAAAAAATTTGGACTGTTTTTTTTTTTTTAATGTTTGTATTGTGATCACTAGAGGTAATTAGAGATATATAGATAGAGCATAGAGTCTCAAAAACGGGTCATCTTTTTTGTCAGCTAATTGTCAAATTAGCTGACCCGTTTTTTTTTATCAATGTTCTAATATACTTACGCATACAATATATTTTGACGTATTATTTAATTAATAATATATTATTTAATAATTCATATTTAAATTTAGTTGCATTATATGAATATTATACCTATAGATGAAGCATCGATTCTCGAAAACGGGTCAACTTTTTGTCAGCTAATTTGAAAATTAGCTGACAAAAAGTTGACCCGTTTTCGAGACAAAACATGTAGAAAACATGTAACAAACAAAAAGAGGAAAAACATGTAGAAATTATAAGACTATATATATATATATATATATATATATATATATATATATATATATATATATAGAAGTTATAAAGGAATCACTCATAAATTAGTAATCACGCAAAATTGTATGAAAAAGTTGACCCGCTTTTCTCGATGCATTTGTATGAAGACACTCTGTCTATATAATCTAAGAGATAGGTATAATGATTTAAGTTAAGACTACCCTCACAATCATGAAACTCAGCAATCTTACGTAAACGAATACTTATGATAGTGGGATCTAAAACGGACCCTTTACCAATGTTTATGAGGGTGAAAATATAAATAGGCGACCTCACTGGCCTCTCTGTCTGTCCGGCTTTTTTTCTTAATTTAGTTTTATTGGTATTGAAGTGTTATTTGGAAATTGAACATTTTCTTGAACAAAATAGATATATGTCAGGCTAGCCATATCCCGCGGCTTCGGCCGCCTGTATTAGTACATAAAACATCCAATGTACTAAGTCTGGATATACTCGACCTGTATTATTTTCGAATTCTATCTATCTGTGCGAAACCCGGCCGGATCACTAGTCTATGGTAAGATATTATTTAATTTAAATTATCATAGACTAGAGATTCTGTTATTGGTAAAAAAGTTGGACTATTTTTGGCGAAACATTTGTTGGGAGACACTGTGTTTAGATGTGGTTAGAGTGGAAACAAAAATTACAACAGATAGATCACACAGCGAGAAAAATGGCCGGTCTTTTATTTTGCTAAAAGCGATTCCTGCCAAACAATGTTTTAGTGAAAAGGGTAAAATAAGAATAAGAAAAATTTTAAAAATAATGGATAAATAAAGTAATCATAATAAAAAAAAAGAGATCTCACGTAGTACTTAAAAATATATAATAAATATAATAAATAAAATATAATCCTTGTTAAACATTTATTGTTAAACCAATTTAGCAAACATAGGCCAAGTTCGACGTAAGGAGATTTAATTGTTCATGTACTTATTTTTTATGTAACTTAGAATGGCAAACAAGCTGACGGCCCACCTGATGGAAAGTGGTAACCGTCGCCTATAGACATGAGCAGTGCCATGGACATAACAGAGTATACTGTTTCGTCCATGATACTCCCCATATGTTGCCATTCCTGAGAACTCAGGTGTTATTCCTCTGTACCCAGTAAATTCACGTCATATCCTACCCTTCAAACCGAAACACAGCCATGCAAACACAACTGCTTCACGGTTGAAACACGAATGGTACAGAGGTACCCAAGCAAACGACTTTTGTACAAAGTCTCTTGTCAAAAAGGATTGGTAAATCCTGAGGACTCAGGTGTTATTCCTCTGTGCTGTATAAATTCATTGTACCTACATATACATGGAAAAATTATTAGTGTTCCTTTAACGTTCTTAATCGATTATAAACTAAACGATTGTGTCTACAATGATAGAATTGTCTATTGATTTATTTATAGTATCAACACTTTACCAGATGACTAAATAATACCAATCGAGGTGCAATGCTTAATCTATGTATGAATATAAATTTTACACAATTAAATCGATTATAATCGATACAAAAAATCTGTCAGAATATACTAAAGATTTTTTTCAGTAATTGTTAAATTAATTTATATTTATTTTTTGATTAATCGACGTTTATGTGATATACGATAGGATGTATTTAATTGATAATATCGTATTACAGATTACACAATCGATTATTACTATACATTCTTGTGGTAATAATCGCATAATCGATCAAAATCGATTCCCATCGATTGTTAGGCAACACGAATCGAAAGGAAGCATGTTAGGGTAGCTAATGGCATTCTGTTGTCTCTGCCCATCTTAAGAGGGAAAAGGCGGGAGTTATATCAATAATAAAAGAAAACGTCTAGGTGCTCAAATACTGAATATACCTATTTAATTGTATTACATATTTTAAAAATTATTTGAAAATGGAATATCTCAATTTAGCTCTATTTTGTTTATGTATTTGGTTTATATATGTCGCAGACATGATATAATGTACTCATGTTCTTTTTCTTTGTTTTTTTTTTTATACCACAAAAGTGGCAAACAAGCACACCGCTGTCTGATAGTAAACGGTTATTGTAGCCAATGGACGCCTGTAACGCTAGGGATGTCAAATGCGACTCTGAGGAAACCTTAATATATATTTTTTGAAGAACCCCATACTTATAATTTAAGATATATACTTGTGTAATATATAGATTTTTTTTATACAACTTAGAATGACAAACAAGCTGACGGCCCACCTGATGGAAAGTGGTAACCGTCGCCTATAGACATGAGCAGTACCATGGACATAACAGAGTATACTGTTTCGCCCATGATACCTCCTATGTGTTGCCATTCCTGCAACTCAGGTGTTATTCCTCTGTACCCAGTAAATTCACGCCATATCCTTCAAACCGAAAGACAGCTATGCAAACACAACTGCTTCACGGTTGAAACACGAATGGGATAGAGGTACCCAAGCAATCGACTTTTGTACAAAGTCTTCCTCTGGTAATAGATATCCTTTCCTTTCCTGTGGGTGTCGTAAGAGGTGATTAAGAGAACTTAATGCTTGAGGGATGGACAGCAGTGTCCCTCTCAAAACATCACCAAAGTCTATTTACGGTTACTAACCCGTATTTATGGGGGACGCCAGGTTCAGCAGTGGATAGTTAACAGCTGGTATGATGATGATGATGATACCTAGAGTAGTGTTTACTTCTATGTTAGTCCAATAATAATTTTGTCACGAAAGAACTAGCCGTGTTTTGGCGGAGCAAAATTTTGTCCACTTGTCTAATTGTCTGCATAAAATAAATATGTAAATATATTTCATGATCAACCACAATCATTTAAGGCTTAAAATATTATTTAAAAGTATTAATTTGGGCCAACCCTAAATTTTTAAATGTATTTTTTTAACAAATACTATGTACATTTCTTTTTTTAATGTATTTTGCCAATGTATATATTTGTGTTATTAATATACCTAGACAGGGGGGAAAGGGATTGTTAGTAATGGAGACTGAGAATCCAATTGCTAGGAATATACCCAACCAGGTCGACCTCCTCGCGGTTCCCCCTGAAACTATCATGGTTAATGCTTGATGAATTCATCATGATGGGCTAACTGGCCTGTTTTCATCCTCATCTATCACTCTTTACTGGTGCCCCGCCAGCGTATCCCGTTAGCGTAGGTGGGGTTACCATTCCATTTTCATCCAATAAAAAAATTATATCCTATATATATATTTATTTATGTACATATGTAAATTTTAGTATGTATGTATATTAATTATTACTAGTACCGCATTGGAATATTCTAACACTTCCCTAAGGTTGATTGGCAGAGAATGCTTTTAGTATTAAGTCAGACTTATACACATACATGTACTAATGAATAAATAAACATACAATTAATCTATTTTTGTGATTTACTATTTTTGTTCATAGATATGAGCAGACTGTCTTATGATGGGAAAAATTATTCCTTCGTTTAAATTTTTATTAGGCAAGTTTTACTAAAACAGATTTTAACACTTCACTATTTTTCTAAATTCCCCATTTTTTAGTCTTAAAATTAAA